TAGCATGAACAACAACTATTCGTTAAATGCGTGATGTAAATATAGTTCACGGTCAAAAATTCCACAGTATCCGTACAATAATCACTACACCTCTCATCGGTTAACAAAGAAGTATGTAAATGAGGGAATGATTTCAGAAAAATCAATTGATAGCTGAGTGCAAATCAGCAACGAGGAACATTTCAATGCAGTTTTCTATTGAAATTTGATAAATGGAGAAATAAATGACAGCTTCTCAGAACCTCGAGTTCCTTTTTAATCTGCATTCATTTTGAATGATTGAACGAACCGTAAAAACAATGTCAATGATGTGATCGTTAGTTGAAAAACGAAAAGAATCGAGGCAACTCGCTGTCAGATAAACACAAATTAATGCATACCACAAACTCACTCAATCACTAAGTTTTGATTGATACTTTAAACGTTGTTCGTCGGTGAAATTATCTGAACTGAACTAAATGTACGCTTGACTAATGGGCGATTTATGAGCAGTCAATTTTTACAACTGTTTTGTAACACAAATGAATCGTCAACGCATTTGATAAGATCAACTTTTAATAATGAGAATAATTAACTGATATCTTATTTGAACAACCAAAAGTCCGGCAAAAACAATAACAAATGTGAAAAATCCAGCGAAACCTTCCATTATTCTGAACAATTGCCCTCAGAGGAACGCTTCAACGAGATTTATGAGCACAAAAATCTCATCGCAAACAAACCCACCAGCGTTTCTCATCAGACTATCGATTAACTCAATGGATCAGTCTCAAATGATGTGATAAATCGTTAAGATAATCAAAGTATATGATACTTTCAGTCTGTTAACACTCTGAATTTATTTCAACCAATATCCTGTATCAATGATCAATAACTGCTGCACTGAACTGAGATGGTGTAGATGATTTCATTTCCTTCATTCCAATGAATAAAAATGACTGATTCTCCTTCAAATTACCACAAACTACCATAAAACTGTAGCATGCAATTCATTGCGTTGTTAGTGATAATTACAATCGGTAGTTTTGACTTGAAATATCATAAAGCGATAGATTCTAATCATTTGCAGAAAAATTTTATCAAAAATACAAATCTTTTTCCCTAACGTAAAAAAACGTATATATACAACGCAGAGCACAAAAACATTATTTCTCAAAATAACATCAACAAAGCGTAACGGCTAATAAATGATCACATAATATTGCGCACAATCGACAACAATTATCCTTGAATTAATTGATGTATCACGATTTATTTTACTATCAAACCACAAAATAATATCATTATTTAAGGATTCATTCAGTGTGGCATTTGATAATTACACGATAAGAACGCATTTTTCAGAGGATTGTTGCTCGCTGTGTCCATGATTATCACAGTTTTTCGGAGATTACTTCAACTGATACGAATTGAGTCAGCATCGAAAAATGTGACTTGATCTTCAATAATTCTGTCTATCCCTTTAGCGCATAACAAGAAAATTGTTAAAGCTATATCGTTTCTGGAGCATCCCTCTTGAATGTGAAAGTTTCTCAGAACATTATAAATTCAAGTAATTGTATTCGCAAAGTTGAGCAACTCATTTTGCCAGTTGCCATCCCTTCAACGGAAGCATTCAATGCACGATTCCGTTTGAAAAGAAAATATCGTTTGATCACAATTAATTTAACGTTTTCTTCGTGCCCTATTCAGCCTTTTTGCCATGGGACTTTTGCCTTTGGGTGAGCTTCGTCTACATCTTGCGGGTTTGGTCGGCTGAGCTTTTGTACTGACTCTGCGTTGTAGAGATTCCTTTACCTTCTCGTATTCATCACCGGTCCATCGTTCAGGAACGGCTTGCAGCCACTGTGGATTGACCAGTTCACAAGCAATACCCGTTTCAGTTGATTTTGTTGCTATCGCAACTGTACCGCTGCAATTCACCATTCATCTTCTTTTGGAATTGATCTGTCGAACGTTTTGACAGACAGCATTCAATAAAGTGGATGATGACACGCGACAACAGTTCATTTCACAATTTAATAAAGATGCTCTTAAAGTTTTCGGATGGAAAGCATAAACTCATCATGCAAGCTAAACATCAAATCTTGATGGATAAAATAATTGCATGTGGCGAATGATTACAAAAGTGAACGTGTTTTCATGTATTCATATTCTAAATCCACAATGAACCAAAGTGATGTTTCTATCAAAAATTTGTTGCATCGATTACAATAGTGTACTTGAGCAGTGAATACAATTCATTTTCGATATTGTCTTCAAGCAGATTATCATCAAATTGACTCGCATTATCAGATATTTTGTGTGGAAAGTCATAAGTACATGGACTGGCCAGGCTATACAACGCTTGCAACGTTGCTGGCCACAATGCGTTTCCTTTGCATTGTTTCAGCATTAACGAAAATTATAAATATGTTTGATTGATACCGTAATGACGAAGATTCTTGTTGTTGGGTGATGGTCATTTGTCGTTGTTGTTGTTGTGGTTGTTGGGAGTTCAATCGTACATTTTTTAGAATACTCATTTCTGGGGTTGGCCTTTGATTTCGTCGCCAAAAAACAAGTTCTTTTTTGCAAATTTCAATAACATCTTCAGCCATTTTCGGATCGATTTCAGTCTGTTTATCGTATTGTAACGCATAATTAGTCAAACGAAATGCAGTCAACGTTGATGGCTTTTCGATAATGGTTTTGACCTGAAATAAGCAAACGTTTTTCGAAGTAACCAATCGATAAAATTGGCTCCGAGTTCATCCTA